TGAGTTGGACCCTGGACTACTTGGGTCAAGGCCATGGTTGTCATGGAAGCCATGAACTGCTGCGCTCCATCAGAGTGTTTGCCCAGGGATGGCAGGTTAAAGTCCCCCAGTATCATCAGTTTGGGGAACTCCACCACCAACCCGGCTACCGCCTCTAGGAGTGCAGGCAGGGCTGTTGTGACGCAGCTGGGAGGGAGGTACATCAAAAACAAGCCCAATTGAACCCCTAGGTCCAACTTCAGTAGAAGAGACTCACACCCCACTATCTCTGGGGCAGGTATCCTGCGAGGAGCTAATGACCTTCGGATAATAACTGCCACTCCCCCACCCCTTCCCTTGGTGTCGCATTTGGTGTAGCATCTGGAACCCATCTAGGCACATTTCCAAGAGGGGGACTCCTCCCTCTTGGCCCAGCCAGGTTTCAGTTATACATGCCAGGTCTGCCTCCCCATCTAAAATTAAGTCCCGGACGAGGAGAGCTTTATTTACTACAGACTTGGCATTTAGCAGCAGCAACCTGAGACAAGGGCCCTGATCTCCTCTGCCACCAGGCCCTTGAGTTGAACCAATAGGGCCGGAACAAAGAATCGCTGCAAGGTAGCGAGTCCTTCTTCCCCGGTAATGGCCAGCCCTACAGCTCCCGTCATATCTGCCCCGCCCAGTCGTAACCAAAATGCTCCGACCCTCCCCCGTCACCGTAGACCCCCACCCACCTCCCATGGCCCCCATTCTTCCCGACAGGCCACGCTCAACATACATACCAGGACGGGGGGCGAGTCTGGGCCCCCATCCACTTCTGCATCTGCACTCAGTGGAGGGGCTTCAGGTCCCCCACCCGATCCTATCATACACAACACACAGCCACTCTCCTCATACACCCCCATTCTAGATCAAAATACATTTATTCAAAATGCCCCAAATACTTTATCAGTTTGAAATCCTACAGAAAAGATTGCACCCATGGCTGTTCCAAAATTCTGTTTTAGAATTGTTCTAATTTTTATGTATTCAATGAAAAGGACAAAAAACATATAAACAAGCAAATTAGCAAACTACATTAGAGTTTTAATTTCAGGAAATAGGATCCTTGAAGACAAACCCCTCTGACTAGCCATCCCAATCCATACCCTTCCAAATAAATTGGAAGCAAACTCCAGTCATCATTTGGGCATAGTGAGTCATGGGTTTTGTAGTCCAACACAGCTGGAGTTCCTCACGCCTAAATAAATATTAGTGTTATTATTTATTTCGTCAAGCAAGAATTAGATAACATATAAGTATAGACATGATTATGTATACATAAAATGAATACAAATACAAGGGAATATTAAGACAGGGATGCTGGTACGCTTATGCATGCCCCTCTTAGGAATGGGGTGAGGTCGACAGTAGACACTGTAAGATTAAAGTTTTGGGGGGTTGGGAAAGAAACCACAGTGTCAGGTAGTGCATTCCACGCATTGACAACTCTGTTACAGAAGTTGTATTTTCTGCAATCAAGTTTAGAGCAGTTTACCTAAGGTGACCAGACATCCCGATTTCAGCGGGATGGTCATGCTTTATAACAATTTATCCCGTGTCCTGGGCCGTTTTAAAAAAGTCCCGATTTTCTGGCTTCATGTTGAAAGCCCAGTGGATTTGCTTAAGAAATCCTAACCAGGGCAAGACAAAANATACACAACACACAGCCACTCTCCTCATACACCCCCACAACAATAGTTAAAATACAGAGTAATAATATAAAAGGTTAATCAAATATAAAAGTTAAAAGTGGGAACACACTCTCACCCATTCATACAACATTCCCTCAACAAGCAAGATAGGCGCAGTTCTTGACCCACAAAGGTGGTTGGCGCAATTTTAAAATAGGTGAAGTTGATAAGAATGCGGGGGGGGGGGGCTCCACGCTATTGATCTTCTCCCTGCGGAGTCCAGAAAAGTACATGAAATCTGAGAGTCTAAAGTGGCTGATGCCAATTGGGGGGGGGGGAGCAGGCTTCCTGTCCACGTTCTCATCATCCCCCGTCCTCTCCTTCTATGGAGGTTGTATAACATGGGATCAAACATAGAACTATCAGCGTGGCCAGAGGTCTCCATGGCCGCAGCAACAGTTAGAATGATAAGCAGAAAAATCCCTGAGGACGAAGGCGGGGGCGGTCAGAGGGTGAGGGCGACTGGAGAACATGCTGCCCAAAAGGCAAGCCCACATCGCCCAAAAAGGCAAGCCCAAGATGATAGCGGGTGGCAGCGGCAGACAGCAGCGGGAAGCCGGCTTTGATCTTTAAAGAAGTCAGGATCATAGCAGCCGGAGTATGGACAAAGGAAGCAAAAAATCCACAGCAGTGATGGTAAAGAGGCAGAAGGGCCACAATGGAGAAAGAGGGGGGGGGGCATCAGCAGCAGCGGTAAAGAAGCCAGCTGCCCAGTCCCAACTCACCACCCGCTCCAAGGCTGTGAAACCCGATAGCTGAATCCGCGTCCCAATGC